GTGTACACACATTATATTATATTATATTATATTATATTATATTATATTATATTATATTATATTATATTATATTATATTATATTATATTATATTATATTATATTATATTATATTATATTATATTATGTTATGTTATGTTATATTATATTATATTATATTATATTATATTATATTATATTATCTACTATATAGCATATACAGATGTTATATTATGTATTATATATCATATATTATATTTTATATACTGTATATTATATATTGTCTATTCCATGCTGTATATATATGTATATATATTATATTCTTTTCTATTCTATTCTACCATATTCTATTATATTCTATTATATTCTACTATATTCTATTATATTCTATTATATTCTATTATATTCTGTTAAATTCTGTTCTAATCTATTCTATTATATATATACATATATATATATATATACATACATATATATATATATATATGCGCACACATAAACATAAGATCAGGTAGACAGTGATGAGGATCCTGGGCAATAAACAATTGCCAGCTATGTCCTGCAAAGAAGTCTGTGAGCTTAGTCGCCACGCGGTTTAGGTCAAGTTACAGTGGTTTAAGGCTTCTGATGTACAGAGCTAAGACATGTAGGTCGAAGGGTTAACGATCATGGAAATCTTAAACCACTTAGATTTGATAGGCTGAATAAAGACACTGTTGACTTGTTGCAAGCCGTCGTCCATTCTCACCCCGGCAGTCATGCAAATCCTAGATGCATGGAGACCAAGATACCGCGCTTCGGATGCTCGGGAAAGCTACTCTTGTCGGGACTTACGGCCATGAAATGATATGGGTAGTTTTCTAGATTGGCGGGGTCCCCTTGTAGGTCCCCAAAATAATACGGCACGCTTGTAAAAAAAGACCTTAAAGGGGACCCTGGGGAGCCTCAATGATCACCTCATCTCAACAACCTCTGAACCCTGTTAAAATCTGCTCCTTGTTGCCTCGACGGTAAGCCCCGATAGACCTTTCAAGACCTGTCCCCACCTGAAAACTAGAAGACTCTAATATACCTCCAACGTGCGTCTCTTACCGTAGGACTGAAGGAACATTCGAGCTGTGCCTTGATATAAGGAGGCCATGACAGGGAACTCTAGAGGGTTTGGTAGGGTACCGGTATTATAGTCACAGTCTGTCTTCCCTTCAGAGCTTGTATATCTCGCGCCTACAAGGAGGAATCCTTAATGAAGGGACTTCGGGATCTTCTTGAGACGCAAATTCTGAGCTCTAAACCGCCAGGCCCTGAAGCCGGAAACCCTGCCCCTAAACCCTCAAGAACCTCGGACATGGATTTGAAGACCGCATCGCAATTGAAGGCCAAACGTGCCTGCGATTTTCGCGAAAGATTAGCGCATGTTTCTGTTCACTCGGCTCCCTTTGCGGGTTTAGGATTAGGGGTGTCGTTCTTTCGGGATGTTAGGTTTAGAGTCTCGTATTCGAGCCACCTATCTACACTAAATGCAACATCCCGACAGCAATTTTGCTGGGAGCACTGATATAAACCCTAAATCCTAAAAAACGCTGAGGTGCTGATGATGGTTCTGCGGGTGATGCTTCGTGGCATCTTGACCCTAGACCCTAAACCTCGAAACCTAAGCCCTAAATCTTAAGCCCTAAACACGGAACCCTAAAAATACGTCATGAGATGCGGGACGCACATAACAACGTACAAGGTTTCGGGTTCAGGGTTAGAGGTCATTCACAGGCAACAGCAAAATCTTTCTGCAGAACTATGACTATAGGCTGTACGAAGTCCGAAGCAACCAGGAACAGGCCCAAACTTGCTAAAAGATGCCAGGAACGCTCAACCCCAAGTGCTCCTAAACGACCTGAACTCTGAAATTCCAGGCCCCAAAGCCCTGAAACCTAACCCCTTCAACGCCCAGAAAAGTTTAGGGTTTTAGGGTCTAGGATTTAGGGTTTAGGGCTGTAGGTTTTATGGTTTAGGCTTTAGGGTTTAGGGTTTTAGGGTCTAGGATTTAGGGATTATAGGGTTTTAGGGTTTATGGTTTAGGCTTTAGGGTTTAGGGTTTAGGGAACCCTGAAACCTAACCCCTTCAACGCCCAGAAAACCCCTTATACAGCCCATATGAACCGCTTGAAATCATCAGAACCTGAAGCCTAAGAACCCTCAGAAATAAGTCGTCCCGGCCCTTCCCCTGAAAACCCGAAGGCAAACAAATAAACTGTAATCTCGACACACCTGAACACCCTAAACCCCAAATATCTTAAACCCCAAACTGCTCAAAGAACTTAAACTCTAAACCCTAAACCCCTTAAGAAACCTTAACATGAATCCCAGACCCTAAACTCGAAGCCGTTCTGGAACCCTTGCAGAGCCCTTGCAGGAACAAACCCCAAACCCTCACGGAACCCTGACAGAACCCTGACAAGACCCCTTAAAGGAACCCTTCTAGACCCCTTAAATAAGGAAGCCTTATAGATCCCTTAAAGGAACCCTTAAAGGAACCCTTATAGATCCTTTAAAGGATCCCTCAAAAGAACCCTTAGAGGAACCCATAAAGGAACCCTTATAGATCCCTGAAAGGGAACACCAACCCTAAACCCTAAACCCCTGAAAGGGAACAGCTCAGAGGAACCTTAGATCAGCCGAGCCTGGCTCAGGCCTTCTTCGTTGAGCTCCTTTTGGTGGAGGAAGCCGGCAGGGCAGGCGGTGTTAATGTAGGGGCCTTAATAATAAGAACAGGGTTTTGGGGCTTCTTCATAGTATAGCCATAATGAGGAACCCTGGCAATAAAATCGGTCATATTTTAGGCTTCTATATTCTGGGCTTTTTCGGGTTTGGGGTGTAGGGTTTATCCGGCTTGTAGGGTTTAGGGTTGAGGGGTTCCTGTAGGAGTTCTTTCAAGAGATACTAGAAGGGCTTCTGTAACGCTCCTATCAGGGCTACTTGTAGGTTCAGGGGCTTTACATAGTCAGGAGTCTCGGGTCGCAGGACCAGGCTTTTCTGGTATAGGGCTTTAGGGTTGGAGCTAGAGGTTTCCTAAACCCCAGATGAGCCCTAAACAGTGTGTAGCATTCTTTGGGGCTGAGGGTTTGGGCTAAACCCTAAACCCTAAACCCCTAAACCCTAAACCCTAAACCCGAACCCCTCAACCCTAAACCCTAAACCCTAAACCCTAAACCCCAAACCCGAAACCCTAAACCCTCAACCCTAAACCCGAGATGAGAGCCCTCATCCCTCTTGGCCCTAAACCCGAATCCCTAAGCGG